TCTCGCCTCAGGAGATGAAAGAAAACGTTTTTCTCCCTGAGTCTGGCCTTCATAATTCCATTCCATCACACCACCATCCTGAGCCCTCCAGAGGTCATCCACAACACAACCAATGCTGTTTTGGTGCTGTAATCCTGCCTGAAACCAGACTGAAAAGGGTCCAGATAGTCTGCTTCCTCCAGGGCCCTTTGGATTTGGGAGCCAACCACCCTCTCAACAACCTCCCCAAAACTGTACTGGACAAAAAGTGTCTAATACTGTTGGCTCCAAGGACGGCATCTTCTGGAAGGAATGGACCACTGCCTCTTTAAAAGCAGGTGGAACCTTCTCACACAAATAAGCATTCACCACAGCTTGGATCCAATGTATGTATGTCACCTCCTTGGAGGCCTTAACCAGCCAGAAGGGACATGGATCTAAAACACACATGGCTGAACTCACAGCCCCAAGAACATGTTGGAACTCTTCCCAGATAACCAAGTGAGATTGTATCTCTCCCAATTCCATAAGACCTGCCCAGGCAGAATCCAACTCTGAGTGGATCTGAGTGACTTTATCCCACAGATGCTTAGGATAGTCCTTGCAGCAACCCTGCAGGAGTTCCCATGGCCTCTCCTTGCCAACAGCCTACCTAGTCTCTCAGAACAGGGCTGCTGGCCAGAAAAATAAGCCCTTTTTACCATTCTCATCACCACAAGATAACCTTAATAAAGGTTCTTACCTATGCCTGCTCAGATTGTAACTGGCACTTTCCATGTTCGGTAGTAACAGAGCTTAACAGTACACTTACAGGGAATGTGTGTGTTTCAGTAGCTCTGGATGGTCTTTTAATATGAAAGCAAAAACTTGTGCATGGGATTTCAAATATGAACTGAAGTGAGAAAAATCCATATATATAATACAGGACCTCTGTCTGCAGAATCCACTTTTATCTGAGTAGTGTTCAATGAAGGTAACTTCCTTTTAGATAAAATTGCATGATGGATGCAGTGAGAATGTTCACAGAGATGTGGTTTGAATTGGTGGGATGGCAGAGAATATATATGATTTGCTCCTATAGTTTAATAGTTAAGACACTATTGTTGTGTGCTGCTCTGCTTTTGCCAGCCAAGCATACAATAAAGTTCCACTTTGCAGTTAAGCAGAAAAGTCCCAGATTGAATTCCTGTCAATACTATTAAAATGGCAATTGGGTGATGGAGAAGATTTTGCCATTAAACTGGAGAGCTTCAAGAAATGGGGTAAAGAATAGATCTGTGCAAATTAGTTCTGATTCAATTCATACTGGTGGTTTGAGATTCAAAACGGGCTTCATTTGATATATGAAAAAAAGATTTGCCCACAGGCTATAATTGGGAAACTTCGACACCTGAAACTGCTTTATTTTTTGGAGAATAGGATGAAAAGAGCAGAGATGGTACTGTAGACCCTTTAGAGGGCATTAACCCCACTAAGGTTCAGCTAGATGAGTGCAAGGGTTTTATCAGAATCAAAAATGTATTTCCCCATAATACTTTTTTCTAGGGCAGACAGAGCAGGACTGAAGAAAGTCCAACTTGGCTTCTAATAAGCACTATGGTCTATAAATATTCAAAACTGTTTTAATAATAAGCCCCTACCTCTTCCTTTGCTTTTCTGGAGTGCTGTGAGCTAGTGCGTCCCCACCTCTGATCTGTAGGTTTTGGGGGGAGCCAGGAAGCCTAGCAAGGTGCTTGGCAAATTCAGCCCTTCCCAGGAAGAACCTCTTCAACAATGCCAAGATTTGATTGTATCAGAGCTGCGGTCTGCAGGCAATACAATGCAGAAACAGTGGAAGCAGGCTGGCAGAGTGAGATACAGTGCCACAGAGATAGGCTGGCCCAGAATCAATGAATTCATTGCCTTGCTTTCACCCCGTTCTTAAAAGCAGTAAATGTTTAGACCAGCACCTGCACAAATGAACTCATTGTAATACGGAGAGACTCAAACTAGCCTTAATCATGCAGTATCTAAAAATAATAATGTTGGACCCAAGACTGCATATGGTCAGCCTTGAGTCCATACTGAGAGCTCTGAGAGATGAACTGAACTCCCACTTATGCTGGCAAGTCCGTCGGAAAAGAAGTGCACTGTTCCATTAGCACAAGAGAGAGCAACATTTAAGATTTCTGGCTGGCTGCTCGGCCTCAGTGAAAGTTGAGAGCTGAGAAAGTTGAATGATGGCCAAAACAACATTAGCCTTACTAGCCGCAATACATGTTTGGAAAGACAACAAAGACTCTGGGCACTGTAATGGTCAATTAGCAAATAGCAAGCATTACCAACAAGCAAGCAATTATCAGTTCCCTCATTATGAGATCCCAACCCACCCTCTCACATCTCTAACCCCAATACATTTTTCAGAAAAGCTGTCTTAGGTTTGTATGCCTTCTCATTTGGTTTGAGATTTCAAGCTTCCCCAGACCAATCTGAGTGGACTGGGCCCTCTAAGATCAGTGGCATTTGGGTGTTTCGGCCATAATAAACATTACAGTAAAATAAGATTAGTGGACTGTGTAGACGGGCAAACATTCAGGCAGCTTTTGCACAGCTCCTTAGGAAGATGCAACTTCCAGAATTTCTACTGTAACGTTTTTCTCTCTCTCTCCCCATCCCTTTCTTTCTTTTCCTTTTTTCTGTCTCTATTATCTGCCTGTCTCTCTCATAGACATACACACATTTGTGTGCATCCTACTAATATGACACTAGGTGGCTTACGATTTATAAAGCTAAAACACATCCATACAATAAAACAATTCACAAGCCTACTCTTCCACCTCCGGACCAATTACTTTCTTACCTATCAACTAGCCATGTCTTCTTTCAGCTTGGCAAATATGGCTTCTTATCAGAAGGACCCTGAAGAATGTTCTAATTACAAATCTCAGTGTAATGTAAACTCCAAGGTTATGGCTTGCTGATGATATTCTATAATCTTAATAATATTCTCAATAATTGTAAGGATTGCCTTTCGGAAGGATTTATAGTAAATCCTTAGTAATAGCATTGCGGAAATAGTCCCCCTAATTCTCAGGAGGAATAGAGCAAACTTTAGTTCATCCTATTCTGTCGTTACAGGGCAGTAGCTTTACACTCTTTGAAAGCAAAACTCACCTGCCCTAACATTAGCAGCTTTGAAGACAAGAGCCAGCATGCTCCACCTCTGCTTAAAAGGAAGCAAGCATTTGGGGGTCAATTCGCAGCAGGCGTTTCAGTGTTGAAAATGTTCTACTTATCCCAGGCCAACCAGAGAAGGATGTTTCTTTTCTATTTTTGACTTTTAAGAAGCCTATCGAGCCTCTGTTCGCAATCCCCACCAAAGAAAATGTTAATTGGCTAGGTTCTGAGTTAATCTCCCAGTGGCTCCATTCCCAGAATATATCAACTAACTTTTCCAAATAATATATTTAAATTGCGAGATTGTCTGAGGAAGACGAAGTTAAACCATGTGGCCTAGAATTAATAATGGTGATCGTATTTTATTTGTTAGAATCTCAAAGCAGTGAAAAAGCCATAGAATCTCCCTAGAATCATAGAAATGTAGAGCTAGATTCAGCTCTCTGATTTGCTTTGTTGATTCAGTTCAGGTCCTCCTTATGAAATCCTATCACTAGCATATTCTAGGAGAAATCTTCTGCTCAGGATAGGACCTAACACCGTTTAGGAGATAGTGGATGCATTTGAAAGCAATCAACAGCCAAGGAAGGCAGTGGACAGGGTCAGAATTTTTGTGAGGATTTGTGCATTTGAGAGCTTAAGCCTTCCCACTTACGGCTTTTACACCTTCCCACTTTTCTTTGCCTTCTCTTGGAAAATGGGCAGGAAACTGTGCCCCTGCAGTTTGTAGTTTACTGCTAAAGTCCAACAGAACCATCTTCAAGGCTTCTGAAAGCTGAAACATGGATTTGAGGCTGCACAGATCCACAGATAGAAGTTGCAGTAAGCTGTACGAGGCAATGGTTTGATGTGAGATCTAGCAGCTTCCTGTTTCAGCGTTCTTATGCTTTCCAGTCTGAGACTTTTTCCGGTTCCTGCTTTAATAAGGGAGCAATGCTACTGAAGCAAATGATGGCAATATGTGTTTTTACTACCTTCTGAACTGTATTTTGGTGCTGGCCTAAGAATATGTGGCTGGAGGATGCATTTTATTTTGTGCCAAGACTTACTCCTGAATGACATGCGCAGAGAACAGGCAGTGTATGGTCTGAAATAACAGGTGAGGGTTTGGTTTGGTTTTTAAACGGAAGAACTGTCAGAAAGCCTTTTATCTGCCCCTTAGCCCGTTGTACTTTTTCTCCTAGGTCCTTGGCCACAAGTCAGGAAGAAATTTATTATTATTTTTAACATGCCTCTTCATGTGTTTTTCAGTATGTCTGACCTGTATGAAGTTTTTCTTACCACCTTCGATGCCAGGAAAAACCTACTTATTAATAAAGGGCCAAATATGTGATTGTAAAAACAATAGTGTGTGTGTGTGTGAAATAAATAAATATAATTAATTTGTCAGTGCCTTCTTCTGGAACATTTTTTCGATTTTCCAGTTTACCCTACAGTCCTGGGACGTCCTGATAGTCTCCCCTCCAAGAGCTAACCAAGTGCCACCCCGCTTTAGCGGCTGAACCCGGGCAACGCCAGCCGAATGGGGCTGCCACAGCAGTAATGCCCTCCTAGCCCAACCCTTTGAAGGACAGGGGGGAAAAAAATCCCACAGTCGTACTGGAGACCAGAGCACCCCACGGCCCGCCAGGAAGAACTAGGCGCGGGCTTCCGCGAGTCCGAGTCGGGCGGGCGCGCAACTTACGGCTCGCGCCTCTCCTCGTCTCGCCGGGCTCCCCCGCCCGCCCCTTCACGTTACACGAGCGGGAGGGGGGCCCGTCCAGCCCCTCCTCCTGGTGCGCAGGCTCGGCTTTCGGCGCAAGATGGCGGCGGCGGCGGATAAACAGAAACATGAGCACG